GTAAATCTCGAACAGCTAGAAAAACCGGAAGTAATACCGAATAAAAAAATAGCTCTAATAAAACAGGAAGAACTACTTAAAGAAATTAAATATAAAGTTAAGCGTAGGAAATCTCCGGGAAGAGATCAGATTGGTGGTGAGATATTAAAACAGCTCCCAGGTAATGCAATAACTAAGCTTTGCTCTATTTTCAATTACATGCTAGAAAAAAGTTACTTTCCAAAAGTATGGAAAGAAGCCGAAATAATTTTAATCCCGAAGACAGGTAAAGACCACACTGAACCCAGTTCTCATAGGCCAATCTCCCTCCTTTCAGTTATAAGTAAATTATGGGAACGCTTATACCTTAAAAGACTAAAACCTATACTTCTAGAAAATAATGCGATCCCCAACCACCAATTTGGATTCCGTGAAAAGCATTCAACAACCCAACAAGTACATAGAGTAATTAACTTAATAGAAAAGACACTAGAAGAGAAAGGAGTTACAGCTGCCATATTCCTTGACATTCAAATGGCATTCGACAGAGTCTGGCATCAAGGACTAATCTTCAAACTGAAAAGCATTCTACCGATCAACCACTGCGATTTAATAAATTCATACCTGTCAAATAGACAATTTAGAGTAAGATATGGAAGTGCATATTCGGAATTTAAAACTATATTGGCCGGAGTTCCCCAGGGGAGTGTTTTGGGGCCAATTTTATACCTTTTGTTCACTAGAGACGTGCCTGAAAGTGGTAAACTTCTAGGAACATTCGCCGATGATATTGCAGCTTTGGAGACGGGTCGGGATCTTCCTGAGGCCACTGTCAAGTTACAAAATACTGTTGATGAGGTTGTGAGCTGGACTAAGGACTGGAGAGTGGCTCTCTCCAACCCAAAATCCGTTCACACTGTTTTCACTAACAAAAAAGTTAACTATATTCCTATACTAATTGAAAATAAACCTGTACCATACTCGGATTCAGCAAAATACCTCGGAGTCACGATTGACAGAAAATTGATTTGGAAACATCATATCAAAAACAAAAGAGAACAACTTAATGCAAAATACAGACAAATGTATTGGCTCTTGGGAAGAAACTCGGCCCTCTCCATAGCCAATAAAGTTCTCTTATACAAACAAGTCCTTAGGCCTGTCTGGACATACGCCTGTGAACTATGGGGCTGCACTAAACCGAGCAACAGATACTTGATTGAGTCCTTCCAGGCGAAGGTGCTACGGTCAATGGTGGATGCCCCATGGTTCACAACTAACGAATCAATTAGGGAGGAGCTCGGAATAGAGTCTGTCTCTGATTATATTAAAACAGCTTCCTACAAGTACTATAATAAACTTGAAATTCACTCAAATCCCCTAGCCAGGGACCTCACCATAGACGACCCGGTAAGGAGGCTAAAGAGGATCAAGCCTCGCGACTTGGCCTTTGGCGTCTAACTTA